AAGACCTGCAGGAGAAACCCGGGCAGGGGGGGGAGAGAGGGGGGAGATATTCTGAGCTGCCATTCCTCGGACAATTATAAATTTAATAAATACATTTTTAAAAATTATCTGTGAAAAGCAGGGAGCTGCATCCATCTCCCTATCCTCCCCAAATGCCCAGCGCGTGCATCTTCGGTTTGGAAAGGCCCCCCAAAGTTACGCATCATGCAAAATTAGCCCCTTCATGTGCATCGTGCAGAACCGATCCGACACGCTCAGGTTATGGGGAGCGGGGAAGACACGCCAGGCTCCATTGGGAAAGGACACGTGGAGCCGTGGCCAAGGAGAAGCAGAAGGGGACAAAGGACTTCCCCCAGCGTGGCCCCCTCTTCCCCACTTCGTTGCATTCCTGGGATTTTGCCACCTTGCCATCCCGCCGGAATCCCACACCCCGGGGTCAGTTACCTCGCACCACTTGCCGCTAAAGCCCAAAGGGCAGCTGCACAGGAACGTCTGGTTTTCCGCCTCCTGGCACTGCCCGCCATGTAGGCAGGGGGCATCTCCACAGGCCCGCTGTTCGGTCTCACATTCAACCCCGGTGTACCCTGGCCGGCAGGAGCAAGTCTGCCGGTCACCATCCAGCTGTTGGAGAAGGAACGAGAGGAGGGTTGGGTTGGGGGGGGGATTCTCGAGAACAGGATGCCCCCAGAGACGAGGCAGGACCGGCCCGTCCATTCGGCGGGGCAAGCCGTGTCCTTGGGCAGCAGCAGTTTCTGGGAATGGCAGGGGATGGGCAGCAATGGAACCGGCTGTCCTGGGACGTCCTGCACTGTTAATCGTGTATGTCCTGTATCGGTACGGAAGGGCATCGTCCACTCTGGGGCTCCAGCACAATTCCTCTTGGGTCTGGTTAGCTTTCTTGGGGGAGCAGGCAGTGGCACCATGGGTGTCCAGGTAAGGAAAGTAACTTTTGCAAAAGATGATGGAGGAAAGTGGGAGGGAGGACCATTTAGGGCAGGGTACTCCAAAGTGGTCAATATTGACCCCCAAGGGTCGATGGGACTATCCAAGGCAGTGATTCTTAACCTTATCAGCTTGAAGATGGGTGGACTTCAACTCCCAGAATTCCCCACCCAGCATAGCTGTCTGGGGAATTCTGGGAGTTGAAG